TAGTAACTTTACGAACATTCGTTATGATGAAGTCAAAAAGCAAAATACCTTTGTTAATATTGGAGTTGATGAGTTTTTTTTTTATCCGAAATCCGAAATTCGGATCCGAAATTCGGATCCGAAATCCGTTAACGGAATTCGTATTTCGTTTGGTTGACCAATCAGAGGTTTTATCTTCTGCTGCTGAGAGTTGCATTACAATACAGGCAGGAAATACGAAATTCCGTTAACGGATTTTCGTTCCGTTACGAACATTCGTTATATTGAAGTTAAAAAGCAAAAAACCTTTGTTAATATTGGAGTCGATGGTAGTTGTTTTTTTATCCGAAATACGGAATTCCGTTAACGGATTTTGGATCCGAATTTCGGATTTCGGATTAAAAAAAAAACTCATCAACTCCAATATTAACAAAGGTATTTTGCTTTTTAACTTCATCATAACGAATGTTCGTAACGGAACGAAATTCCGTCAACGGAATTTCGTATTTCCTGCCTGTATTGTAATGCAACTCTCAGCAGCAGCGGATCCGTATTTTGTATTTCGGATTAAAAAAAAATCTTGCCATGTTGTTCAACCTCATTTACAGGGGTAATATTAGTTCCCGTTTCAAAGAAATTCAGATCCGAAATTCGTTAACGGAATTTCGTATTTCTGATATAATTCGGAAACTGCAATTCGGATTTCGGATGCTTCCGAATTTACGAATTTCAGGATAATCCGTACAAATTCGATTCGTAACGAAACGAATTGCACATGTCTACTCTCTAAAATTGAAACAACATTTTCGCCACAATCCTTGTACCAAGGCTATTGACTCTTCTATTAAGAAATTTAAGAACAAAAGTTAATGTATTCCACCTGGTCATTGTTCCCCTGGACCCTGTTCCCTCACTGCTACTTCGGTCACCCTCTTGCTCTATCCTAGACTCTCTTGCTCACATTTTCAATCTCTCACTCTCTACTGGAATCTTTCCCTCCCCTCTGAAGCATGCCCTGGTCACCCCAATACCCAAAAAACCCTCAATGGACCCTACCGACCTTAATAACCTCAGACCAATCTCCTTACTCCCATTCACCTCCAAACTCCTAGAACGCCTCATCTACAGCCGCCTAAGTCACCACCTCGCTGATCACAACCTTCTTGACCCCTTACAATCTGGCTTTCGCCCCCTACACTCCACTGAAACTGCCCTCCTAAAACTCACTAATGACCTACTCACTGCTAAAAGCAAAGGCCACTATTCCCTACTCTTGCTATTAGATCTTTCTGCTGCTTTTGACACTGTAGACCACCTGCTCCTCCTCAAAAAACTCCAGTCACTTGGGCTACAAGACTCTGCTCTCTCGTGGTTCTCCTACCTATCTTAGCGCTCCTTTAGTGTCACCTACAATTCTAACTCCTCCCCTCATCTTCCTCTTTCTGTAGGGGTCCCCCAAGGCTCTGTCCTTGGACCTCTTCTCTATCTACACCACCTTCCTTGGTCAGTTAATAACCTCACATGGCTTCCAATGCCATCTCTATGCAGATGACACTCAAATCTATCTTTCTACTCCACAACTCACCCCCTCTGTGTCGTCTGGTGTCACTAATCTACTATCCGACATATCCGTCTGGATGTCGCAACACTTCTTAAAACTCAATCTTTCAAAAACTGAGCTCTTGATATTTCCTCCTGGCTGTACACCTTCCCCCAACTTTTCCCTTGAGCTTGTTAACACAACTATCCACCCCTCCTCCCATGCCAAGGTCCTAGGTGTCATCCTTGACTCGGACCTCACCTTTCTTCCCCACATCCAATCACTATCCAAATCCTGCTGCCTTCACCTTCTAACATCTCCAAAATACACCCCTTCCTCACCAAAGAAACCGCAAATTTACTCATCCACTCCCTTGTTATATCTCGTCTTGACTATTGCAACTCCCTCCTCATTGACCTTCCACTACACAGGCTATCCCCCTTCAGTCTATCATGAATGCAGCTGCCAGACTCATTCACCTAACCAACTGCTCAGTGTCTGCAAACCCCCTCTGTCAATCCCTGCACTGGCTTCCACTCGCCCAAAGGATAAAATTCAAAATATTAACAATCAGTTACAAAGCCATCCACAACTCCGCCCCCGGCTATATCTCAAACCTGATCTCAAAGTATCACCCTAACCGTCGGCTCCGCTCATCCCAAGACCTCCTGCTTTCCAGCTCCCTTGTCAACTCCTCCCATGCTCGCCTCCAGGACTTCTCTAGAGTCTCTCCCATCCTCTGAAATTTTTTACCCCAACCTGTCCGTCTGTCGCCCACCTTGACTGGCATTAGGCATTCCCTAAAGACTCATCTCTTCAGGGAAGCCTATCCCACCTCAACCTAACCGCTCGACCATCACGTTCTCAAACAATTCATCCCCACACAGCTCGCTCCTCATGCATCACTTCCCCCTCACTTTAGATTGTAAGCCCTCAGGGGCAGGGCCCTCCTTACCATCTTGTCTTGATTTGTATTGTGATTGTAATGTCTTCCCTATATTGTAAAGTGCTGCGCAAACTGTTGGCGCTATATAAATCCTGTATAATAATAATAATTTCTCATCAATTGAGACATTTATTAAGACCGTTAAACATGACGTTTACAATGTTATTGACCATAGGAAGACGCAAAACATCACATGCCCCTTTAATCTAAGTAAAGCTGAATTATCATCACTTAAATCCTTACAGGAGGACAATTCCATTATCATAAAACCCCCAGATAAAGGTGGTGCCATAATTATCATGAACTATGTTGAATATAGATTGGGCATGTTACAGTTACTATCTGATATATCCAGTTATCTCCCTATTGCAGATGACCCATTGTTCTCTATTTTACATAAGTTGTCATCATTCATAGAGTTAGCCTTGAGCCAGATGGATCTCTGAGGGTGTTTATGAATGGCGATACAATCAACACCCTCGTACACCTGTAATGTATGGCTTACCATACATTACAGGGGGAATAATCATAAGGGGGATAAGGGGAATAATCTGCTTACCTATAGACCGATAGTGGCAGGTACTGGATTGGTGTTGCAACCACTTGCTATGCTTTTGGACAATTTCCTCCAACGCTTGTGAAAGTCCTCCCTTCATTCACACGTGACACGAATGACTTTACCGATAAATTAGGGAGCATCGATTCTTTTCATTCGAGTTGGACTTTACTTATGATGGGCATATCGTCCCTATATACATGTATTCCAACAGCGTTGGGATTACAAGCAGTTGGCCATTTTCTTGCTTTGAGAGAGTCACCATCAGTCCCGACAGAGTTTATTTTAAGGGACTTAAAATGATATTGGAGAATAACTATTTCCGCTAAGGTCACATCTCTGCCCTGATGAAGGGACCCTGCGTGGTCCCGAAACGTTGGATTATGCAATATGTGTGACGTTTAGTCCAAATAAATGGACTTTTTAAAATTCCATTTACGTAGTGCTGGTGATTTCTATCGTTCATTGACTGTTGTACACAGCGCCATCTGTGATTGTCACTGTGAGCACCACTATTTTCACTTGGCCCGGAAGCGCTGTAAGGAGTGCAGGGGGACCTACTGTTTTCTGGATCCTCTTTCAAGCCATCCTCCATGGCATGCAGTCAGCAACACTGAGTTCACTGGCGTTGCTACTGACAACTGCATACCTGCTGGGCCTCTGTTCAGCCCCTTGCTCTCCCCAAATTGTCAGAGTAGGCTTTTTCACTGTAGTAGCTGGGGGTCATCAGGCATTGACCATCCCTACTGCCACCAAACTCTTTCAACCATTTTGTTATAGTAGTCCTTTTTCTTTGAACTGCCCATGTTAGCAGTCACTCTGTTTCACAGTCCACAGAAAACAAGAGTGCTGTCTCTTTAAGGGCTTTTCTCTCTCTTGCAGGCTTTGTCTCACCTGCTTTATACAGCATGCACTCTGTGCTGTCTCTGACAAACACATGAACTCACTTTAGCTGGAACGCCACAGTTTGTCCAAAGCTTTCAAAAAACGGCTTCTGTGAGAGAGAGAGAGCGCTGGCTGCCCGCATTTGAACACCACTTGTGATATTTGGGGAATTGAGCACATATGGTGAGCGCTTAAGGACAAGTCTTGAAGCCGACTTGAACATAAACAGGACAGTCTTTATTCCTCTTCAACATAAATGAAATAGAACAGTTCATGCACTTCGTAAAATAATCCACTTTTCCTCAGCATATACAGTCCTCAACACACCTCTGTGTGCACTCACACTGCTCACCCCTTGTGAGTACTCACACTACTCTCTCAGCAGTGTGTCCACCAGGTCCTTTGGGTCACTGACCTTCCGGACCTCTCCCAGCCTCCCCTGGCTGTTCCACATGTGTCCAGCACGCACACAAGTCTGCTTGTGGCAGTGTGCCTCCTGCGCGCACACACAACCACCTGGCTTCCCTCTGACTTCTGGGTGGCGTCCATCTGACTCCTGAAAAACTCTGTTCCTCTTACCAGCTGGAGCCCAGAACATTGGCCAGCACCCTATAGAGGACTACAAATCTCAGCAGTACTTTATACAGAAATGCTATTGTTATATAAAGTATTGTTGGGATGTGTAGTCCTCTATAGTCTATGCCATTCTGCACTGCTGTGAATATTAGGGTTGTACCGATATATCGGCCGCCAAAAGATATCGTCCGGAAATGGCACTTTTGGCTAGATGCCAAAAGTGCAATTTTTCTGCAGATACAGCGGCGCATCCGTGCTTTCTTTCCTCCCCGCTGGGCACTGCTCTGTGTCCCAGCGGGGAGGAGAGAAAGTGACAGCCGGCCGAGCGATGCGGGAGGAGAGCGCTGTGTTTTGTTCCTTAGGTCCGTCACTGCACTGTCTAATCTGATATCCTTCAGGAGGGTTGAAATATTCTGTTGGATTATGACTGTATTCGCCCCCTGAACAATTTGGAAGTAAAGTAAAACAGAATCAGGCTAAGCACATCGATCATGAAATGATTATTCCCACAAAAATACCTTCACTTTTTACGATTTCCTTTTTTTTTTTCTTCAGATGCTTGAGCATGCCTCTCAAGTCAGTGACGCCATGTTGAAAGGCAATCTTTTCATACTCGCTTGGCTTAGCGTTCTTCAATATTTCCCAGACATGAGGAGGAATACTATCCATTGGATCCTCATCCCCTTTTTTCTTTTGTTTTTCGATTTGCTCTTTCTTCTCCCTCTCTCTACAAGTAAAAATAAACAGCTGTTAATAATTAAAATGGTTTCAGGAAAAATAACTAGTAACTTTCAACATGCAACTAATATTTGCTTCAAAAGTATGTCTGATTTCTACATGCTGGTAGGATTAAGTGTCAGATGTTACAAAAGTGTCAAAGACATTCCCTATCATGCAGGTAGAAGATGAGGAGGAACATTTTTCTCTCTGTGCAAATGCAGCTCGTTAGTTAAATCTGCATAAAGCCTTGTACACACTTGCTACACTCTATTGGTACCATAAGGCCCCTTTCACACGGGCGGTCAGATTGGGTCTGTGCATGGATCCTCTCCTGATCAGCCCATGTAAAAGGGGCCTAAGTATGAGCTGAGTTTACAGCCTGGTGAATAGGGATGGGCCATCCCCTCAAACATCGGTAGTTCGTGTGTTCGGTGAACAGATGAACTATCAGGGCGTTTGGCTGGCTATTCTCCTTCCAAATGCCCCACAAGGCAGTGCGCACCACACAGTGCCTTGTGAAGCCCCAACTGGGTAAAGCAATGCACCTGAGCACAGGTCAGGTGCAAGACTTTGCCCAATCACTGTAATTATGACTTTTCCCAATCATGGCTCACAGCTAATTGACCTTAGGATTACGTCTGTGGATCCATTTTTTTTTTCTCGACCACTTCCAAGCGGGTTCACGTAAATGTACGTCCTCCGATGGAAGTGGTTATACCAAGAACATGGCTGCTGCTGCGGCTGTGTCCTTGATACCATTTAAAACAGTTTAAATACAACTGAATAGGTACAGGTATAATCACCCCTTACTCATTCACAAGGGGAAGCCGCATCTGGATGTACCCCGATGTGAATAAGCCTCCCTGCCCGCACTCCCACAGCCAACGCCCCTGGGCTTGTGGGGAAGAGGCCCTTGTCCCCATTGGCAAGGGGACAAGGTGCTTTTCCATCGGCAACCTTGGAAAAGCACTCTCTCAGTGCCGAGGGCATGTGGCCTGGTATGGCGGGGGAGGGGCAATCGCTCATACTCCCCCTTTCCTGCCCTGCCAGGCCTGTGCTCGGAACAAGGGTCTGGTTAGGAGTTTTAGGGGGGCCCCATGTCCCCCCCCCCCCATTTTTGGGGGTGGGCTCCCTCTTTAAATTTCTACCATACCTGGTCGGCGCATGCGCGGGTCTCGCTAAGATGGACGCTTAGCGTGAGAGCCCCGCACCACGGCAGCCGCGATATCCTGACCCCGGATCATAACGGCTCTATGCAGACTCACCGTGGAGGGATATAGCATCCCCGAGGCTCGATGTCCCGGCTACAGAGCGGCATAAGCCTTCGGCTGGTCCGGTGTCGAGCCCTGTTGCCACACTAGTAAGAGACTCAGGAGGCTCCACCTCCCCTCTGACAGGAGCACAGTCACGTTGGCCAGTAAGGCTCGGTATACGGCCAAATGAGGATGGAGGTGGAATCACATAATGCCACAGATTGAACCGGTCCCCACAGCCCTAGCCCTTGCTATGAGTGAGAATTCAGGTACTACAGCAATACAGGAGCAGGATTCGGTGCTGTTATTCACAAATTAACAGTTTCAACTACCTCCTCTCTGATTCAGTGAAGATGCTGCACAAAAACTGCTAACTGTTGATTGCTATACGTCAGAAAGATTGCAAGTATTAACCAAAGCTTTGAATGTTGTGTAATACTGGTGCTGAACTTTCATATATGGCTAATTATTTCAACATAGTTCTGAGATAAATTTATTAATGGACAATGTTAGTGCTTAGTGGACTATAAAGTTTCAAGTGAATACATTGAAGAGCTTAGACATTTTCAATCTCTAAGACCGTTTTTTTAGCCTTGTAGAACCAGTCCAGGAGACAAGGGGCTGTTTAAAAGTCTGAGGGACTATAAATCCTAAGTGGACAATATCAGCAAAGGATCAGTGTGTAGACCTAGGGGGTTTGAGCTGGACGGTTAAGGTGGAAACTGGGCGGGATCCACGTTTTATCTCTCAGCCAAGGCCAACATATAGAGTGAAAGTGTTTATTACATCTCGATGGCTGGGGGGAGGCCCAGAAGGTCTAGAAAACAGTCACACAAGCAAAGGCCCGAGACCCGGAAATCCAAGATGGCTGCAACATCATCTCCCTCTTCTATACAACAGATGCAGTCACGAGTAAGGCACAGCGATGTGGAGGATTCTTCAGACTCCATGCGCCGGACTCCAGTGAGTACAGATTCCCCTGATCAAAAATCACCCGCTTCTACTGTCTCCTTAATTGAAAACACAATAGAGGGGATATTGTCCAACCAGAGGGGTTTCCCAGCCGATTATAATCCCCTGCATGTACCGCAGGGGGATTATGCTGCAGGAGCTAGGGCTGAGGATCATCCCCTGATTGCCAAACTTTCAGATCTTTTTGACAAGTGGCTAGCTCGCACTGCAAAACAAATTACAGCAGATATTAAAGCGGACATACAGGAATTGGGTACTCGGATTGAGCAAAAAGTAGATGCTACGGTCGCTCGCATCAATAAAAATACAGCCTGCATCCAAACTGTACAAACTCAATTAGACTAAGCTTTGGCTAAAATCGATGCTTTCGAAAATCGGTCTCGAAGAGACAATTTCAGGATTAGAGGATTACCAGAATGTATTACTGACCTGGATGCAACGGTCCGATTATTTTAAAAAGATACTCTGCCGGACATACCAGATCATGAGCTTGAATAAGACAGGGTTCACAGGGCGCTTGCTGCCCCCCCGCCCTGATGGCCCAGCTCGGGATATCCTTGTTAAACCACACTATTATCAGACCAAAGAAATGTTGATGGTGAAAGTCCAGAACATTCCTGACCTGCAGATGGCATCTCATCCAATACAAATCTTTGCAGATATCTCCCCTGTTACTATCCAGAAGAGGAGAACCCTGAAACCCCTTCTTCAAATGCTGTCGAAACACGCTATTAAGTATAGATGGGCTTTTCCTCTACGAGTTAATTTTTTTTTAAAGAACAAGCCTTATTCTTTTTCTACTCTCGTAGAGGGCGAAGAGCTGCTTATACAACTGGGGTTATATGTAACAGAGCCCTCACAACTGGGCAGGAGCCCTTCACAAGCTTTTATGAACAGAAGAACTATCAATGTCCCGTTACTGCCACTTTGGGAGCAATCACGTCCACACCCTTCAGCTCCTATTGCTTCGAGCTGATAGGAATTTGGGGGGTAAGACTGGCCAGGGGGCCTCAATTGATAACTACAAGTCCTCATGGGGGATTGTTGATATCTGATATTAGGAAATGATCAAATTGTCGTACTTATATAATTTTTAATGAGGTTGGTTAGGTGGTGTTATGTGTATTTTATATTATAATTTGGTTTGATTGATGACTATGGGCTCACAGCTCTCCTGGGCTGGATCCCACTCCCTCGGGGTCCCATACCAGGGAGCGTTCCCCGATTATGTTGGGTGAAGTCGAGTGGATGTCAGTGTAAGTTCTTGGGACCTGATTAATTGGTTTATAGGTAGATCCTAGTGAGATATGGTAGTTATGGATTAGCAATAAATGGGCACAGTCGGGGGGGTAAGGGAGGCACAAGGTGATTTTAGGGAGTAAAGCACTAGGCATTGTGGGATTAAACCTATATTTATTAAACAATTTTATAGGGATTTAAATTTAGTTTTCAATAAGATATGAATTAGATATATCTTTATAAGGAATGGGGTCTGAAGGGGGATTTCACATGTATTTAAAGGGGGTTGGATAAATGATTGATATAGCTACATGGGGTTAAAGAGGATACAGTATTTATATTAAAGATCACTATTTGTTATGGATTAATATAAATTAATGTTTGCTATGCAATTAATTATGTTAGATGGATCACATTTGGTTAATACTAAATAATTAATAAATTATGAATTGAGTATCACAAGTTTCCCTTCTGATGGAGTGTTGACTCTGAGAAAGGGAAATAAGTTTATTTTTAATTAAATTTAATTTATGAGGTTTTTTGGCTAGAAGGTGCTTATTTATACTCCATATAGGACCTTAAATTGATGGATGTCTGAGAGGGTCATAGGTCCTTAGCTGAGGATCTTGCTCCACTGGGATCTTGCGCCCATAGGGAGGTTTCCCTGTTTGGTGGACCCAGTTGAGAGGAGGTTCCGGACCCAGGAGTAAATAAAGGAGCCGTAGTGTTAATTCAAATCTTCTTGTTTGGGATGAAAGTGCACTTTTAGGGGGGGCACAAGGAGAGGTGGGAAGTAATTACTATGAACTGGGGGATTTTGCTGGGAGGTTCTTAAATAATTTTTGTGCACAGATTTTATGTATTTAATATTTGGGGGGTTAATAGGAACTTTGAGGAATTAAGGATTAGATGAATTAAGGGATACCTACATTCACTGAATTGTGATGGGGGAAAAAGGGGAAGAAAAGAAAAGGGATTTTTTTTCTTCTTTTTCCTCCATGGGGATTGAGATAGTGCACCTGGTAAATTAAGCATGATCACTTGTTTAAAGATATTCATAGTTCGGAGTTATCTGATTGATGAGTTCAATCGAGTCACTTATTATTTACAGTTCATTGGGTTATACTTTTTGAATATTGGGTAGTCAGTTAAGTGATGCTGAAACTTAGGACTCGCTTCCTAGCTATATTAATCAGATTATAAGTGGAGTCCTTTTAATATATATTGAACATCGAGAAATATTAGCCGCTTATTTGGTTTGCTTGTTTTGGACAGAATATTCCGGGGCGGGGTTAGGCTGCCGGTGGAAGTCGTGCGCCTGCACTTGACCTCACCATGGGGGGTTACCCCTGCTTGTGTCAAGCGAGCTGCCCGCAAGGGGCAGACTGTAAATTGTACTCGGATAGGCTACTAAGGTACCCTGGGTGTTGTTTTATATGTAGTTTTTTATGTTTACTGTTTTGTGTAAATGTAGTAATTAGTTGTTGTTCTTTACTCTGTTTGTACCTTTTATGTTTTGTTCTTCATCTCTTGTTGG